TAAGTATACACTTAGTGATGCATTAAAACAAACTAAGGTGATATCAAAATAAAACAACTTAATAATATTATAACAATTTAAAACATTAAACTTGAAGTCAAATAAAACCATTAAATATTCAAACCAACTTATTCAAAACCGTTTTTCCTCATCAGAAACTTAAAATCTCATGTCATGATTTTGTCAAAATCATGATAATTAATCAAACATAATAATCATGTCATATTATTTTTCATTCAGATATATTTATGAACATTTCATATTTTATTTTCATCTTTAACTTTCGTATGCATTTTCATATTTTTTTCTTTAAGATATTTGTCATAACTTTCACATTTACTTTCATAGCCCAATGTATATGTAAGAGAATGCAAGATACGTGAATAATACATAATTTGCGCACTAGGCACTTCACGATGCCAATCATAACTTATCATAATATGCACACCAATCGCAAATCATATCATATGCACCAACGATAACATACGTAACGTACACGAATATACCATAACTTAACTTGAACTTTACTCAACTTCCTGACACGCCAAGTGTACCAATGACTCTTCAAGCAACATACAAAGGGCTTATGTATCATATTATATTCATATATTAATCAACATTTACATATCAGAATCAATTTCAACTTATCATCGTAAAATTCATAACTTAGGCAGTTCATACCCGAAACATCCATAATTAAAATATAGATATCATGTAAAATACTTTGAGCAATTCATGCTCTAAAATAAATACAAATAATATTACTGAAATCGTTAAAGAAATATTTCATCACTTAAATTTAGATAGTTCTTTTATATTAAAAAAAATTCATTCGAATGTTTTTTCAGAAGATAAAAATGTATTAGGTAATCTCATATCCAAAAATCATTCTTAAATTTCTATATAAGCATTATGAAAAAAATACATATTATAATTAAATCATACTTAAATTTTCATACTTTAAAATAGTATATGAGGTTAACTTATCACAAATAAATAATTAAATATATTGTACTCACTTTGACACTTTATTTATAAGTTAAAATATAAGTCTCACTAAGCTTTAAAAGTAAATTAATAAAAATTACAAATATAGAAGACTATATTTTTTCTAACCTTTTTAAGGTGCCTATTTTATAATACAATGGCGTTCTTGGGGACATTTAAAATATTCAGTTAATTTTTTATTTATTTTTTTATCTATAAAGTATGTATTAAAATATTATATTAATAAAATAAAATTTTATAAATACTTAAAATTCATCTTTTCAAGAAAAAAACTTAAAGAAACAAAATACATTGATAATATAATGTTTAGAATTGTGTCTAAATTTTTTAGAGATAAAATTTATGAACTTACATAATAAATATATATATTTGAAATAAAAACATAAATGTAAATTAAATTAAAAAATATCTAAAAAAAATTATCCTAATGAAATGAAATTAAAAGTTAATATTTGATACTTGATTGAATTCCTTTCTACACAAAAAAGATGCACACCCAAGAAATAAAAACATTAGACAAAAAGACACTTGAGGTCCCTGAACTTTCCAAAAAAAAAAAAATTAATATGACCCTCATCCTATTTTATTTTTGATCAATATGACCCTCCAACTCGAAAAAAAAAATGTAATGTACCCTTTGACCAACATTTTCGGTCATTGACCAATAGTTCCATTAATATTGTGTTATAAATTGGGTAAATTGCAACATTCATCACTCTACTATTTTTCTTCTCTTCTATTTTGGTCACTAAATTTTAAAAAATTTAATTTCGAAAATTTTAGACTTCAGGGACTAAGGATGTATTTATCCCATTTTATTTTAAACGCAAAACCCACCTCCATCCTCTGTGACCAAGAGAGAAACTAAGCTCACAAATCAATTTCCATGGCTGAAATTACAGCTTAAGAATCGATCCTAGAAGCGGGTTTTATTCTTCCAATTTTGCTTTCTATGGCAAACGCACTCTCTTTTCGCTTCCAAACCAACCGCTCCCTTAACGTTACCACATTCATCTCCTCTTACCCTCACCAAGGCAGAAGGGTCCTCGTAGTAATGAAAAGTGGAGACAAAAATGGCCAGGACATGAACATGGTTAACACCAACACTGAATTGGTCCTGCAACATCTTTGCCCTTGATCACACAGACTACTCAAAATCTCCTTCCTCCTCACTTTGTTGTCGTTATCCCTGTTTTTGTTTCTCCATCGGCAAAGGAACAACAAAATCAAAATCTTAACTTTTTTCTCCATGTCTTGTTCTTCTTTCCAAGCAGGCAAGCACAAGCAATTTCAACAAATACCCATTTTTTATGCATCGTCGAAGCATTGTTAAAGTTACCATCATGTCATTTTTAGTTTTTATATCGTATTTTAATAATAATTTTCATTGGCCCTTTTTATAATAAAGGGTATCATGGTTACTAATGTTTTAGATTCTCGATGTAAGTTTTTATTGGTCTTCTTTTCGATCTTTTATTTTCTACTTAATACATGGTTGGTTGCTTTTCTAATACCCGATTCCTCTGTTCGTTGTATAAGATGGTTCGTTGATTATCGCATATATGTGTCGGATGAGATTGTTGTTAAAGGTAAATCGTTTTTTTCGTTTACCATTTTGGTTCTTCTTCAAGTTTCTCTCCATCATATTTTGATCCGTTGGTATGTTCAGTTTATGTACGTCGTTGCTCCACTTGTTAATGGTTTTGTTTATCGTGCTATCACTAAGCGATCATTGTTATTTTTATTTCGATAGTCTTGACTGTATTATTCAGTCTGTAATTGACAAGACGTTTGTTCATACGACTTTCTATAAATAAAATATCTGGTTATTTAAAAAATGGAATTTAAGAAGATGGGCAATTCTTAAAATTATAGGAACAAGAAGAATAACGCACGGATTGGGTTTTTTTGTTTTTATTTTTTTAAAAAAATATTAAAATTCTATAAATGTGACATGATTTCATAAATTTGATTTATTATTATTTAAAATCTTTATTAATAAAAATATAAAATATATATTTAAAAAAATTATCAAGTAGTTTTTAATATATATTTTATAAAATTTAATTATTTAAAATATTTAAATTAATTATAATTAAAATTTAAAAATTCAACTTTTAAAAATTTAATAAGACACAATTTTTATGGGACGAAGTAATAATAAGTGATAAATAAAAGAAATGAGTAATAATATAAGGAAACGTTAATTTTCAATTATTTATCTCTCATGAAGTTTACAAAGTCATTATTTATAGCTCTAAATTCTATAGATAAAAGGAGTGATATAGGGAGGTGAAGATAGAGGATCTAAAAAATGAATATGAAAGGACATATACATTTAATAGAATTTATAATACTTCCCTAACATGTCAAAAAATATTAATAATTAATTGGTTTAGTGGGATGAGACATTAGATCCCTTAAGTAATGTTAGAGTTTGAATCATGTCGTTTACGAATGAAACAAACCAGGTTGGGAAGGTCGCCCTCGTCCCTGTAATACCCGTCTGAATTAGTCAATCAGTAGATCAGATACCAGTATTTAATTAAAAAAATCAATGGGACAAAGCATAGATATAAAAAAAAAAGCAATTTGCATTTATTCTCCCATGAATGTATCACTCAAAATCTTCAAAATAAAATATCTAATATTAAAGACTATTCTTTTTAAATGTAATAAAAAGGAAGCAGGAAAGAAATAAGATCAAAAATACTTCTTTAAGATGAAGTACAAATGTAACATTCCATTCTCTTAATTTCTACGGTGATAAAATCAGTTCTAACACTCAAATAATGATTTTTATCAAAGTTCTCTTTAATTTCGTAAGCAATAATAATTTTTTTTTGAAGTTATAGATACAATTATAATTATAAAAAAAACATAAACAAATTAATAAACAAAATATATTATGATAAAGCTCACATAAAATTTAAAACAAAACAAAATTTCAAATAAAAACTCATAAATATTTATATAGTCAAACTTTTTTTTATAGAAATTGATATTAAAAATATAAAATATCTAAATTATAATAAAGGTTTATATAACCACAATCGTAAAGTAAATACAAAAAAGATAATTTCTAAATACAAGAAAATTAGTCACTTATGATCAAAAGGACCATATAAGAAAATGTAAAAAAAAAATTAACTAAATAAACTCGAATAAAAAAGTAGATATGAAAAAAATCTGACTGCATCAATAAACAAACCACAAAAGGGGATGAAGTAATTGAAAGGCTACTGATAAATCATAAATCAAAATTGAGTGAATGAAAATATTATCCACGAACATAAATCGCATATCCAAATCCAATCTGAGGGTCCAAAACAGGAAATATCAACATGATAACAAATAAAACATCATCTTGATCAATCATGACGATATCAAATCCAACCTTGAAAAAAATGATAAACGAAAATTACAGCCAAACGACCGAAAACGTGTCATAAAAGCAAAGAAGAACGTTTCATAAAAATAAAATTATTAAAAATAAAAAACAAGAAAAAAATAAAGATATGCCCTAATAAAACAAAGGGAAAACAGTGAATATTGATAGTCGGTAAATAACACTAAAACTAATATTGTGGTCGATCATAAATATAAAGAAGAAAAGAAATTAACGAGTGACTAAGAAAAAAGAAAAAAAATTATATATAGTAAAACTTAAACTTGAAACATTAAAGTTTCTGAAATTTCAAACTTTCATATTAAGCCAATACCCCGTTACAGTTTTTCTTTTTCCTATAATCTACTAGATACGTGTTTATCTATTTTTTTATATAAACTTATTTTTTAAATGTTTTTTTGAATAATTTAATAAAGGAAGGTGAAACATGATTGCTGATTGATAGGAAACAACGTGTATTTTCAAAACAATCTAAAATAGTATTTTATTACAATAATATCGTCTTTAATATTTAAATTCATATATAATTTTTCCTCCGTCTTTCTGTATATATATATATCTAGTGGTCCTTCCATGCATGTAGGGAAACGAAATCAAGCGACGATTAGCTTAGAAATGGCTACTCCTTCACGGTACTCTGCTATAATTCTCTTCCTACTTCCGTTACAACTCATCGCCGTCCCTTCGTGTCCTGGAGATTGTGAACCGATCGACGCCACCGACAGGGACTGGCCTCAATTCGCCATGAACTTGGAATTCCTAGAGACTGAGTGGTTCCTGTGTGCTGCACACGGAAGAGGTCTCGACGCCATTGAACCGGAATACGCAAAAGGCGGACCGCCTCCGATCGGTTGCAAGAAGGCCAACCTCGACCGTGTCACTCGTCAAGTCGTCGAGGAGTTCGGTTATCAAGAAGTTGGTCATCTAAGGTAAGCTTTTATACATACGAGTGATATTGATTTCAGGCAATGACATGTTTTTGTTCACCTTTGAAGGGCCATTTTGAAAACAGTTGGTGGAATCCAAAGGCCTCAAATAGATATAAGATCCGAAAATATTGCCAAAATATTTGATGAGGCCATGGGGTGTTGTTTGGATCCTCCATTCGATCCCTATGAAGATAGCATCAAGTATCTATTGGCATCATATGTTATCCCCTATGTCGGACTCAACGGATACGTCGGTATGATCCCGTGCCTTCAAAAATTTGAGACGAAAAAGGTAAATCCGATACTAAATCACATCCCACATCGGTTAGATCTTGAATCCGTTACTCTTTTTTCTAATAGTTGGTGGCCGGATTGTTGGGGGTGGAGTCCGGGCAAGACGCGACCATTCGAGCATGGCTGTATGAGAAAGCGAATGAAAATGTGGAGCCTTACAACATAACGGTGACCGAGTTCACAACGAAGATCTCGAAGCTAAGAAACAAGCTAGGCCATTGCGGTATCAAAGATGAAGGCATAATGGTACCTCCTGAGCTAGGAGCCGAGAACCGGACCTCCAGCAACGTCCTGTCGGCCGACTACGATTCACTCTCCTACCCGAGAACACCGGCAGAGATAGCAAGGATCACGTATGGCACCGGCGACGAACATAGGCCCGGCGGGTTCTTTCCCGAGGGTGCCAATGGGAGAATTGCGAGAGAATACCTCTATAATGATAAGCTTAAAGTGCTTTGATTAATATTAATTGGAAAGCTTTAAGACAAGCACTAGTAATATTTTGATCTGAATAATGTGCTAGAGTCTCCGGGGGAGGCCTAATGTATTGCTCGAATCAAACTAGAAGATATGGGTGATTTGCATTTTATCTTAAAATCTATTGCTTGTATGCATGATTTGTTCTTTCTTTCTTTTACATATATATAATATGAAATTTTAGATGATATAATACATCGTTCATATTTAAGGACGGACTCAACCTTTTATATTAAAAATACGCATTTAGGACGATATATTGAAAATTTAAGGATGCGAAATTATAAATTTTTTTGGGTGTGAAATACATGAGAATTTAATATTTTTAGATATACGATCCCACCTCTAGCACCCCTAGGTCCATCTTTGTTTATATCATAATATTATATAATATATAATGCATCGTTCATATTTTTTTCAATTTTAAAATTTTAATCTTGATCTAAACAACATTTTTTAGATTTATGAAGTCAATTTTTTCTAGTAGTCTTTATATAATATATAAATTGTAGATCTAGTCATTTAAATATATACTTACTTATAGTACAGGGACTAGTAAGAGAATTTACCATAAACGGTTCATATAGATCCAAAGAAGGTTGATAGTTGAAAAGCAAACCAAGAACGGGTAAGGTTAGGTATATAGTTAGATAGCATCATATATTATATGAAATGCAATTATAATATGATACATAAAATTAACAAACACAATTAAACGTAATTCCTTTATGGTTTATCATTATTTCTTCTAATAACATTGTTTTCGGAATTTGAATATTTAGGGGTACATTTATATTTTATTATTACTCGTTGATTGTGCGTATATGCTATGTAACACATCGACATGGAATCTTTTCAACTTGTTTGTTACATTGGTGGGTTACTTTAACAGTGGAGTGATTTGGACAGGCAAAGTAGTTAAGGTTGTTGGGTTTAAGTAGGTTTTGTGAAACCACTCGGAGAATATTAGATTTGTTTCCTTTGTGTGCTTGGATATTCAATCATCGTTTCTCCAACTCTCTTTCCACACTTACCAGAGGGAAATTTGTCCGAAGATTTTACATTTCCACTTTTTAACATTGTTTGTTATTTGTTGATTAAGTTTTAATTCGATTGATATTTTTATTTTGAAGATCATGAATTCGAATGCGTTTATGCAGGATTTTATCCGGCTTCGGGGTTTAAAGATTATAGGTAGTTTAAGTATTATATTAAGAGTTAATTGCATCACGCGTCGCTAAACTGTTGCTCTTATTTTAAACTAGTCCTTAAACTTCTAAATTTTTCAATTTCATCACCAAATTCTTACTTTCGTTCTAAATTAGTCGTTAAACTTTTGAACATTCTGATTTTTCCCTAAACTATGAACCTCTTTCTAAATTAGTCCCTAAACTTAAATATTCCAATTCCATCCCTAAATTCATCCAAATATGTAATTAGTTTCGGCCATGATTTAACTTAAATTTTGTTTTCTTCTTCTTCAAGTGCACGATAATATGACTAGGCCTAATGATTTTATTAACCATGGATGTGATTAGTATATAGATATAGTTTGGGGTGAAATTGGAATGTTCAAAAAGTTTGGGGACCAATTTAGAATGAAAGTCATAGTTTGAGGATGACATTGAGCTGTTCAAAAGTTTAAGGATTAATTTAGAATTATAGTCATAGTTTAGGGATGAACTTGGAACATTTTAAAGTTTATGGACTAATTTAAAATGAGCATCGTAATTTGGGGACATATGATGCAATTAACTCTTATATTAAAAATGATTTAATTAAAAGATAAGCTTTTAATTTTTTTAAGCGTATAATTTTTTTTGTCAAAATAAATATCTAACGCTTCATTCAGTAACCAGACCATTCTTTAAAAAATTGTAGGATGGCGATGATGACAATGAAGGTGAGAACATAGAACGACAAAGATGAGAAAGAGACGGAAGATTGTGACCTTGAAGTGACGTAAAGTTCCTGAATCTTCCTAGATCTTTGAGCACCCAAACAATCTAATATCATCTTTCGGTTCGTTGATCAACCCGATTGTTGCTTCAGTGCCCAACAATGCCCAAATTGGAGAATATAGAAGTTTGTTTTCTTTTCGGGATGAAAATGATGATATAAATCATTTTTTCAATAAAATTTTCAAATCTTCTTAAAAGAATAGTATACCTTGACTTTCGAATACAACTCATTTTAATAGATATTACGAATAACAATCAAGTTAAGCAAGATTAATTTTACGAGTTTAAATAAATTTGGATCCTTGAAACTCCATGTCATGAATAGATGTTGCGAATAACTTAGATCTCCCCTTGTGACTGTCTAATTTTGAAGTATGTTGTTTATCTCTTTAAAATAATAATCTCATTGTTCCAATTTTTAAACAAAGGTATGAATCCATCGAATATGAGATAAACCCTAACTCTTAAAATGATAATTTTTTATTTAATTATGTGAATCTTAAATAAGTCTTCAGAAAATTTAAATATAGAAACTGATAGAAGATCAAGACAAATTTATTGATATGTAGGACAACTAATTTTTAAATATAGAAAGTGAAAAATTTCTCGCAATGACTAAGTTTAGATTAAAATTCTAATTTTTGATGAATAACGTGACAAAATAAAATAAAAAAACAATGTTTTTTACTTCGACATCAACACAACTTAGTATTATTATGTTATCATTAAAATTTAATGATCTAGATCTAGTAATGTAACCTTTCATATAATTTAATGTTATCGTAATGTTAATTTATAATTTATAGCAAATTCGATAGAAATTATAAGGGTAAACTATAAATTTATTCACTGAATTTTATTTTCTCTCATATTTCACTCATTATACTTTTAATCTTTTTAATTTAGTCGTTGAATTTTATACATTGAATTTTTTTTGGCCACCCATCCGTTAACTTGCTAATAATGCTACGGCTGGGTAATCAAAACTAAAACGACATAGTTTTGGATCTTACAAAAAAAATTAAATTTAAACCAAAACGACATAGTTTTGATATAAATAAAAGAAATATTTTTCTTTCATTTTACGTTATTTTCTTCTTTCTTCTTCCTCTCCTTCTCTCTCCTCTCTTCTTAATCTCGATGAATCCCAGTTCATTTGCGACACCACCAAGAAGTAAAACCATCATTGTATTACAGCTTCATGGGAACGAAAGTTGTAAATTCCTCTGTCGTTTTATCCCTTAAGGACAATGATGGAAGGTTTTTAGATGCTTCCTTATCTCCTTCAACTTCCGTCGACACTTTTTCTAGTGACAGTCATGCCCATCCAATAACAAATGTATAATATGGTCCTTCATAAGATCTTAAAATTTAAATACTCCACAAATAAATGTCATTTAGGTCCGTCTATATATAATATTTGTGCCCTAACAATATTTAGGTTTGAAGAAAAAAAATAAACTTTTCATTTAATTCTCGTGAAAATGATAGAGAAAATTGTAAAGGAAGATTTTAACAATATCTTTAAATGTTTTTTATAATGAATATTGGGAAAATAAATACCTCGTAGATCCCTTATAATTTTAAATCTAACAAATTAATTTTTATTATAAAATATTTTAAAAATCTCGTTTAAAAAAATAGCATATAACCCCATATCATTTGAGACGGGCCTGATGACAGTTGTGGAACTGGTCGTTTTCCACCGCTGATCTGGGATCTGGTTCATTTCTCCCTCTTTCCCTTAAAGAAATCTGATCTAATGAGACTTGAGTTGGTGCTTATATTTTTTTAAGGGATATGCTCTTCTGACAGTACAAGCACACTTGAATCAATATAGTTTACGCTGGTCTATACCTTGTTGGATTTTTTTTTTGAGGTTTTCATTTAATTTTAAGTAGAGGTTGTTTGTTTACTTCAGAATGATTAAGCGTTGAATGATTCAAATACTAAATGATTCAGAGGCTCTGTATGAATTAGCTTTAAATGTGACATGTTGTTTGATAATGGCTCTGAATAATTCAGAATGTACTTTGATGCTGAATCAGTCAGCACTGAATCATTTAGTGATGCGAAACAAATGCGCTGAATATTGAACGGTTCAGCATTCAACGTTGAATGATTCCATTCAGAGCCAAACAAACATCCTCTTAATCTATTTTATCCGCCTCCTCCATACACTATCTTCTGCTGCACGACTAAACTATCACTTTTAACTCTCACCAAAACATCAAATCTATCAATTTCATTATAAAAAAATCAATCGAAGAAGGAAAAAGGAGAAGGAGAAAGAGAAAGTGAAGAAAACCACAGTCAAGGAATGTGCATACTGCATGAGAATTGCTTTGTCGATGAAAACTATAGCCGTAGAAGCAATCCCATATGATAAGTGTAACACCCCCAACCCGTATCCGACCCTGATACGAGTCCGAAGTGTCACATTGACTTTTCAAACCTTGACTCTTAAGAAAAATCCCGGGAAATTTAAAACTTTATTTAAAACAAAATACAGACTTTATCAGAGTGCTCGTACTTAATGACTTATTACATGCCAACACTTTATACATAACCAAAAACATACTTTATCAAATATTTCTGATCTGATCTTTTGGTAAGGAAAACTGACCTGTCTTGCTCCGCATCACTCCTTACTCTTCTCGAAACCTACGTGTGAAACAATCACACGCTAAGTCGAAGACTTAGTGAGGCATAACCACTTATAATGCACTTTAAAACATATATTGATACATGCATATTCTGTTCTATCATGTTATAGCAATTCCAGGCATTTTTCATATCGTATAGAATCATATCAGATTAATCGCAGTAAATTCATACATACACATAATTCATCATTCACATGTTATCATATAATCACATACTTTTTCAATCAAACACTATACACACAACATCATATAATTTCTATAGCATTTATCATACCACTAACTTATATTTGTTCATATCTCTGGATTAGCCCATGTATATATGTGAGAACTATCGATATGTGAGTCTATAGAGGTTGTGCACTATGCTGTCACCACAGCTCGTATAAATGCACCGAAGTGCCCCGTAGAATTGCACCGAAGTGCCCGTAGAATTGCACCGTAGTGCCCGTAGAATGATGTCCATAAGGACCACGTAGAATTCCTTAAGAATCAT